TGTGCAATCCATATTTCCCCCCTTTCCATTTCTCCCTGTCTGCCTCCTGTGAATAAACAAACCCTGAAACAGAGAACTAGCCAAGAGGTACCTGGCTGGCTCAGTCAGTAAAGCATGCAACTCTTGATCTCAGGTCATGAGTTCAAACCTCACATTGGGCATGGAGTCTACTTAAAAAAAAAAAAAAAGAAAAGAAAACTAGCCAAGAGTAGGTGTGTAAAAGAGAAATAAAAAGACTAATTACAGTCCTTAGTGAGTAAATGATATAAATACTCATATTTTGGTATGTGCTCACATATAGGTTTAGTATTTTATTCTGTCAATAAATGTACTGAACTTTTTTTTTTTTAAAGATTTTAATTGGGGATCCCTGGGTGGCTCAGAGGTTTAGTGCCTGCCTTTGGCCCAGGGCGCGATCCTGGAGTCCCGGGATTAAGTCCCGCGTTGGGCTCCCGGCATAGAGCCTGCTTCTCCCTCTTCCTGTGTCTCTGCCTCTCTCTCTCTCTCTGTGTCTATCATAAATAAATAAATAAATCTTTAAAAAAAGATTTTAATTATTTATTCATGAGAGACACAAAAAGAGAGGCAGAGACATAGGCAGAGGGAAAAGCAGGCTCCATGCAGGGGGAGCCCAACATGGGACTCAATCCTGGAACTTCAGGATCATGCCCTGAGCCAAAGGCAGACACCCAACTGCTGAGCCAGCCAGGCATCCCTAAATGTACTAACCTTATAAGATATGCCAGTTGACACCATTTATCTGACATGACAGCAAGCAGGCCTAGACAGGTTCCTGTATAACAAAGGTTAATTCAGTGTTACATTTAGTCATGATGCTATAACAACCATGGCCATCCCCAAATAAGGGAGAATTGAGAACTGACTACACTCAGATAAAAATTGCTATTTCTCAAATTTTGAGGTAAAAAACTGTATACCTTGCAGCTAGAGGTAAGTGCAAACTACTTATGTTCTATTTGAGTTTTCCCTTTTGTTAACTAAATCACCATCTAAAATACTGAAAAATTTGGCTGGAAACTTGTGATACCTAAAATTATAAGGCAGCTATTGTCCTACTAAGACCCATCCCTTCCAGTATTCTGTTCTTTTAGGAAAATATCCATTCATTTTTGAGCTGCCTCTAGAAGGCTTCCTTCTATATCATTTTCCCTTTACTGGTCTAGATTATTTATTGTGTACTTCAGAAAACATTATTTTCTAACATCTGCTTAACATTTAATTTCCTCAAATTTCTATTTATATTCTGTTTTCCAAATTTTCACTAAGGTCTAAAAAAAGAATTTCAGTAACTAGTAGCTTGATACCATGTCAGCTATTTAAGATTTCAGATAACTCAGTGTCATCTTTTGCTTTCACTGCCTTCTTACACTTGGGAGAGACTAAGTTAAATGAAATTTTTAAGTGCCATAGTTCTTTTTGAATCATTGCTTAAAAAGACAAAAACAAAAAACAAAACCAAACACACAAAAAACCCCAATAATCTGATTAAAATGGGCAGAGAACTGAACAGATATTTTTCCAAAAAAGACATACAAATGGCCAAAAGATAAATGAGAAGATGTTCAGAATCATTGATCATCAGGAAATATAAATTAAAACCACAATGTGGGACACCTGGGTGGCTCAGTGGTTGAGCATCTGCCTTTGGCTCAGGGTGTGATCCTGGTCTCGGGATCGAGTCCCATATCGGGCTCCCTACGAGGAGCCTGCTTCTCCTGCCTGTGTCTCTGCCCCTCTCTGTGTATCTCTCATGAATAAATAAATAAAATCTTAAAAAAAAAACCACAATATCACTTCACACTGTCAGAATGGATAAAATAAAAAAGACAAGATATAACAGATGTTGCCAAGAATGTGGAGAAAAGGGAAACCTTGTGTACTTTTGGTGAGAATGTCAATTGGTGCAGCCACTATGGGAAAACAGTATGGAGATTCCTCAAAAAATTAAAAACAGAATTATTGTATGACCTAATAATTCTACTACTGGATATTAACCCAAAGAAAAAGAAAATATTAATTCAAAAAGTTATATGCACCCCTTTGTTTACTGCAACATTATTTACAACAGCCAAGACATGGAAGAAACCCAAGTGTCCATCCATAAAGAAGACGTAGTACACACACACACACACACACACAAACAGGAATATTATTCAACCATAAAAGAGAATGAAATTTTGACATTTGCAGGAACATGGACGGATCTAGTGATTATAATGCTGAGTGAAATAAGTCAGACAGAGAGAAACAAATACCATATGATTTTACTCATATGTGGAATTTAAGAAACCAATGAACAAGGAAAAAAGACAGACATACTCTTGAAGACAGAGAACAAACTGGTGTTGCCAGAGGGGACGTGGGTGGACAGGTGAGTGAAATAAATAAAGGGGATAAAAAAAATAACACTAGAGGAAGAGAGGTTAAGTAAAGGAAAGGGGAGGCTATAATGGTAAAATTTAAGCCTTTGCTGATAAGCCAATAGAAACCAGAGCTTCCAAGAAAATCCAGGCCTGAGATTAAGGCCAAATCTTGTGCTTCTATCAACATGAAACTACTGAAGGCTGAAGCTTCTTTCTCACTCTATTCTAAAAGCAACTTTTGGCTTGCCTGGACTGTTCCTAAACAGACTGAAGTTAAAGTGCTCATTGCTCAAGTAAGGACAATTTCTACAAGGCCTAATTCAGGATAAAGCCTATTTGAATTTTGCCCCACATTTCTTGAACTTAAAGGGATTTTAACCTAGGATTATGGAGTAGGAAATCTAGTGGCACCTGCTGGGACCCTTATGCCAGTTTTCTCTTTCCCTGGTCTTTTCGCCATGCCTGGTTCAAGTTAAGTGTCCCTCATAAAAATTTACAAAAACAAGTTAGTCCCCCAAGATTAAAAACAAACAGATAATATCCACTTAGGCAAGAAAAGGAGTGATTTATTTTCATACTTTCTTAGATGTAATATAAACTGATATAATGTTTCTGGAGAACAATTTGGTAATGTTTATCAAAGTCTTAAAAACCATGTGTTTCATTTCCAGATAATTATTCAAGGAAACGCAACTCTTCACCTAGTTCCATCCTTCTTTCCATTATCTCTGAAGGTTAGGCTGTTAAGTCATTTCATGGTCTTTAGTGTGGTCTGTAGTCTCACAATAGACTATAATAAACGTATATTCCTTTGGCAATCAGATACTTAAAAATCATCACTAAATATAACACATACACAAACACACCCTGCCTAAAAACACTTGTATCCCAAAGTGTTTAATGTTAAATGTGGGACCACCTTCAGCAACTAGTTTCTTTTACTACTACTACTACTACTACTACTACTACTACTACTACTACTACTATTAAAAACTCAGTATACATTAACAGACTTTCCAATGACCGAGGGTTTGGGGGTATAATAAAAAGCCCATGTCCATATCTGTGGCTATTAATTTTGTAGGAGGACCTAAACGGAGCTTTAAACCACAACAATGATTTCCTCTTCCTGTGGGCCTATGGATTGTTCTTTTAGGCTTTCACAGATTTCACTGGATATGTGAGTCAATAATAATGTGGTAGCTACAGTTCTTCCTTCCAATGACATTTGCAATCCCATTATATGATGGGATACTCTTTTCCTCCATTTTATAGCAGAAGACATTATCTAAATTCTCCTGGATCACATGACTGTAGCCCTGGAAACAGAAAGCAAGATTTAATAGTTCTTTAGCCAAACCTCATGCCTTCTCTGAATCTATTTACCATACTGTTTCAAGATGTTTTATCAAGGGTCCACAGGGGCTACATTTAAGACCTTCTGGTCACTGTTTGCTAACTGCTGGGATGGTTTTAATCAGAGAGGAAGCCAGTATTTTCAGCTTGGGTGTTGGAAAAGTTCCTAAAATGTCTGCGAACTGAGTTAAGAGGAAATGTTTAACAGAAGAGAACTTATTCCTGCCCTAGAATAAACTCATTAAAACTGACATATGGTATAACCACTGACCAAGGGAGCTACATTTTTTAACACATTACATCTGAAAGGCACCTGGGGTTTCTAAATGTTATCAGTACCAAATGATAAAACCAGTTAAGTAAAGGCCATAGCCTCAATATATTGGTTGACAGCTTCTTCCTTTTAGAGTATTCTTGGTGTTTAGTGTAACTTCTCCATGAGGACCTACCTTTTACACTAGCCTTCTTTCTTTCTTTTAATTTGTATTTATTTATTAAGCAATCTCTATGCCCTCAACCCCAAGATCAAGAGTCACATGTTATACCAACTGACCCAGCCAGGTACCCCTTTATTAGTTTTCTTCAAAAGGTTTTATTTGATGACCCAAGTAAAATTTTCTGATGTAAAAGACCTCACATCAGCTCAGCAGACATTTTTCCTTTCATACAACTCTGACTTGAAGTAAGTATAAAGGGAGTCCCTTTGTGACAAGGACCGTTTAGTTCTAGGTTCCAGAAAAGCCCAACTTTCTCAATAGTTCAGATCAAACCAGACCCCCCAGATTTAGTGAGAATGAATCCAAATGTCTGAATCAGTTCCAGGAGCATCACAGGTTTTACCAGGATGAGTAAACTTTTTGTAGGTTAGGCAGGCTTTCTAAGCCTCAGCTCAAGACACATGGCTTTTGGTCAGCCTTGTATTTGCATGAATAAAATGTTTTGTTCCCCCTTTTGTAATTCTTCCATGATTTATGGAATCCTACTCCAGGAACCGACCACCATAGTAAGGGTTCCTGAAGTTGACTCCACCTAGTCCTACTGAATTCAAGTCTCTAGGGATATGGTCCTGGAAGTCTTTTAAAAATGCTTTTATAATGGGGAACCGGGCTGGCTTAGTCAGTGAAGCAGGTGACTCTTGATCTCAAGGTGCTTTTATGAGCACTCTGCATGCTAAAGTTTTAGAACCTCTGCAAGTAGTGCAACTGTAAGAATGAATGAAAGAGAAAGACAAAAGAAATCTCAGCAAGTGAGACAAACAGATTTGAATTTGAGGATTTAATAAAATGGGGGAATAAGATTAAAAAAAAATCGCAGGTCACTGGGGATGGATCATGAACACCTTTGCTTCAACAACTCCATCTTCAGCTAGGCTGGCTGCATCAGTGTGCTGATACTTTCTTCTACCTCTGAGAGCTTCTTTAGGAGTTGACTGACCTTGACTTCATCAAATTCCAAACACAGAAATTCTGATTCCTGGAAAACATAAAAGGGTGTTTTTGTAAGAGACCTTCAAGATAGCCAAGGTTCTGGACCTGGCCTGACCCAGTTCTGAAGATCCAGGGCCCCTTACCTAGCAAGCCTGACTCAGGTCTCAATACCTAAATGATATATTAGCCAACAAAGCAAATCCACATATTTAGTTCCCTAAATAAAACTACTTCAATGAGGTGTTTCATAAATGGTAAAGAGGTACACAAATGTTGGGTGTTCTCATGATGAGGCACGTGAGAAGCTGTTTTTGTCACCACATTTGATCCCATAACAATTTTTAAAAAGATTTTATGTATTTATTCATGAGAGACACACAGAGAGGCAGAAGAGACACAGGCAGAGGAAGAAGCAGGCTCCGTGAAGGGAGCCCGATGTGGGACTCAATCCTGGGACTCCAGCATCATGACTTGAGCCCAAGGCAGATGCTCCACTACTGAACCATCCAGGTGTCCCCCTATAACAATTTTTAAGCTAAGTACGTAAGTATTGCTGTTATATAGATGATGACGCGGAGGTACAGACAGGTTAACCTATATCACAAAATCAGAAAAAGGCAGAGTCAGACTGTTAACTCCCAGTTCTGGCTGTCCCTACTTTCTCCATAGCACTCCACATAGTATAGCAATGGAAGGAGGACTGGGTCTGTGTTAGCTGGTAATTGAGCTCCCTTGGATTTAGCAGTTATATTAGAAATTGTGACCGGTTGTACCAAGTTGCTTGGGAAACATCAACCAGATCACTGAAAGATAACCAACCAGATCTTGAAATAGCCTTAAACATTTCTGAGGCCCTTCCACTTGCTATAAGGCAACTCTCCTAGATTTCCATCAAATACATTCTCTTCAAATACTGTTAGGATCAGTCAGTCAACCCTAGACCAGGGAGAAATAAAAGAAAAAGGCCTTTGAAGTGTAGTGACAGAAATTTCATGTACAATGAATGGATCCGTGGTCCACACTGTGTCAAGGGACGAGGGCAAATTACATGTATCCAAGAGTGATTATTTTCAAGATTCTTAACAACAATCATGTATTTTAAAGCAGTAAGAATTCTCAGAGATCATATAATTCAACTACCTTGTTTTTTAGATATGACACTGAGGCCCCAGGCACAGTAGATGACATGCCTATTGTCCCTCTGTTGATGGCAGAACCACCACCAGATCAGTGCCCTTTTTTCTACTTTTTCCTCTCTAAATGCAAGATATTTCCCATCCCTATTCCCAAAGTGGCAGGTAAGAGGAAGACCAACAAGCCAGCAAGTTACTCTGTCATTAGCTAGAAGAACTTTCAGGAGATTCTGGCAAAGTCTCTTTGCTGTTGCTAAGCTGCTGCGCTGAGTGTTTACTGCTGGCACTGAACGTACCCCTGGAGAAACAAGTGCAGAGGGAAAGGAAGGGCCTCTCAGATGAAAACCTTCCAAAGGGAGGAGAGGCTTTCCCTGACTACAGGGAACCTTTTCCTCAAATATGCATTTGGATAGGAAAGGGGTATACTATGTGAATGTAGAAACTTGCCAAGTTTTTTTTTTTTTTTTTAAAGGAAGAAAGAAACTGCCAGGTTTTCACTTAGTTGAAAGCAAAAACCAATTTAAAGAAAAGAAAGATGCTCCTTTTGTTGAGGATCAGCAGGAGGGATCACTTCCTTTTAGAAAGAAGAGCAAATTTATGGCAAATTAGATAATTCAGTTAGCTAAATTAAGGTCTCAGATTTGAAAGCCTTTTATTCTTCATTCCATTTTACTGAGATCTTTAGCCTAACTTTAAAACATTTTTTGAATATTTGGCCTTTGAAACAATGGTCTAGAGAAAGCAGTAATTACCAGTCTAACACATATATTTGGGAAACTGGCAGAATATGATATAACCCATGTTCTACCATGAAAGTCAGTAATAGTAATAAATCACCTGGTTTTCCATTTTATTTGGGAAAGACTATCAAGGACTTTAATCACAGAGATAGGAATACCTGAGCAGAGTTTATTAATAAAAGCTGGGATCTTTTCTGACTAGGGGGCCATTACTTTGTTATAGATTTTAGTATTCAAATTATCTTTGCTTGGGATCCCTGGGGGCTCAGCGGTTTAGCGCCTGCCTTTGGCCCAGGGCGTGATCCTGGAGTCCTGGGATCAAGTCCCACATCGGGCTCCTGGCATGGAGCCTGCTTCTCCCTCTGCCTATGTCTCTGCCTCCCTCTCTCTCTCTCTCTCTCTCTGTGTCTATCATGAATAAACAAATCTCTTAAAAAATTATCTTTGCTCAGACCTCTAAGTATCAGTGAAGCTGTTTATTTATTTATTTTTAAATATTTATTTATTTGAGACAGAGAGAAAGAGAGTGCAGGGGAGGAGGGGCGGAGGGAGAGAGTCTTAAGCAGACTCTGTTTGAGGAGTGTGGGGCTGGATGTGGGGCTCAGTCTCGACCCTGAGTTCATGACCTGAGCTGAAAACTAAGAGTTGAATGCTTATTAACCAACTGTGCCACTCAGGTTACCACTGAAGCTATTTATTTTTAAGGGAAATCAACTACTAGAGAGACTAGCAGGCTAGAAAAACAAGAGTCCAAAGATACATTTTTTTTAAAGATTTTATTTATTTATTCGTGAGACACAGGCAGAGGGAGAAGCAGGCTCCATGCAGGGAGCCCGACGTGGGACTCAATCCTAGGACTCCAGGATCATGCCCTGGGCCGAAGGCAGACACTTAACCGCTGAGCCACCCAGGCATCCCCAAAGTTAAATTTTCTATCTATTCCCAAGCTTTACCCCTCCCCCCTGGAAACAATGCACATTAACATGGTTCGAAAGATAGGGGCACGTGGGTGGCTCAGTTGGTTAAGCATCTGCCTTTCAGCTCAAGTCATGATCCCAGGACCTTTAAGTAGGCTCCACACTCAATGTGGGGCTCAAACTCACAACCTGGAGATTAAGAGTCACATGCTCTACTGACTATGCCTGGCTATTTTATGTTGAAGTCATTCTAAAAGGTTCCACTTAAGTATTTAATAAGTCATCAAGCCCCACATCAGTCTCCCTCAGCAGGGAGTCTGCTTTTCCCTCTCCTTCCTTCCCCCTCTTCCTGCTGTCTCTCTCACTCACTTTCTCAAATAAAATCTCTCAAAAAAAAAAAAATCAATAAAATCTTGTGAAAAAAAAGTGTTAGAAAGACACATGTAACCATTTATGACCCTTGAAGAAACAGTTTATTTGAAACTATTTTATTTGAAACTATCTAGGAGAAGCTAGGTTTAGCTTTACCTAGATATGCTATCAAAATATTTTTATCAGGTATTCAAGAGCCTTTAAACTGGGACTTTACACATGAGGCTTTGTTCAAATTTGGCTGGGGTACACTACAGAAAATACATCTAATGCACTTGATGCTTATCAAGCCAGAGGCAAAGTATAAGAACAATTTGAAACATCTGATTTTTTAAAAGAGAGAGAGAGAGAGAGAGAGAGAGAGGCAGAGGCACCGGGCAGAGGCAGAAGCAGGCTCCATGCAGGGAGCCCAATGTGGGACTCTATCTCAGGTCTCTGGGAACACACCCTGAGCCGAAGGCAGATGCTCAACCACTGAGCCACCCAGGCGCCCAAAGGTTTTATTTTTAAGTAATTTATACATCCCACAGGGGGCTTGAACTCATGACCCCCAGATCCAGAGTCTCAAGCTCTTCCAACTGAGCCAGCCAGGCACATTTGATTTTTTTTTTTCCCCAAAGTCATCCACTCGGGTCTGGGCCTAACTGGTCATAATAACAAGAAATAGTAAGATTAAATTCCTGGATTTAAGTATCTGAGTCAAGAGTTAGAACTTGCTGCTTTTTAGTAGAGTGTAGATAAAGCATGTGGTAGAATCAGACATTGGCTAGCAGATGAATAAGCAAGCACATCATGGGATCCCTGGGTGGCTCAGCGGTTTGGCACCTGCCTTTGGCCCAGGGCGCGATCCTGGAGTCCCGGGATCGAGTTCCGCATCGGGCTCCCTGCATGGAGCCTGCTTATCCCTCTGCCTGTGTCTCTGCCTCCGCCTCTGTCTCTCTCTGTGTCTATCATAAATAAATAAATCTTAAAAAAAAAAAAAAAAGAGCAAGCACATCATTATTAAGAATATGTAGTCTGTGATCACTTGGGAGTATAGCAGTGTATTAAACTCAGGGGTTATTTATTTATTTATTTATCTTTTTAAAAAAGATTTTATTCATTTATTCATGAGCGACACAGAGAGAGAGGCAGAGACACAGGCAGGGGCAGAAGCAGGCCCCATGCAGGGAGCCCAATATGGGACTTGATCCTGGGACCCCAGGATCACTCCCTGAGCTAAAGGCAGATGCTCAACCGCTGAGCCACCCAGGCATCCCTAAACTCAGGATTTAAAAAACTATCCCAAATAACAGAACAAAGCAAAGGCAAAATACTCCAATACTCTCTCCAACTGCAAAAGCTAGTCCTAAGAGATCTAAGAGGCCTCCAACTCCAAACCAACAGAAAAACCCAAGCTACCTGTAATGACTTCAGAGAAAGATATCTCACAGGTTCCTAAGAAACTCTTTTCCTAGGTAACCACTCTAATATTGTTCAGGAAACTCTTACTTGCCAACCTAGAACTTTAGTGCTTTAGCTTAAACTCATTTCCTTGCAAGGTCAGAGAATATAACTAATTATTAGTTTATATAGTAATTGAAGGCTGCCTTTAAGCAAGTGTTTGGTTTTCTCTATCCATATACTAAAACTTCTTTGTTGATAATGTCTATTTAGATGATTTTGCTATCTAGGCCCATAAGCATACCAAGAAATTCTTTGGCAAAACAATACTACACTGACAAAATGCTAAAATAAAAAATAAAAAGAACAATGACTTATTAAGTACTTACGTGGAACCATTTAGAATAAATTCAGCATAAAACAAAATAGCAGGGTGCCTGGTTGGAACAGTCAGTAGACCATGTGACTCTTAATCTTGGGGTTGTGAGTTTTAAGCCCACA